TCACAATGAAATAAAGAGTTTAGGTGATACTACAAGCATTGAATGGCTAGGGCTGCAATGTTGTTATATGAGGTTGCACTCTTACAGAGATTTGGAAAAGCTTTAGTGTTTTCAGCCCATCAAAGATGAATTTTGGCTAAAACCTAGAAATACACCACGTTAAATAACAAGAGTCTGAGCAAAACCAGATCAGTGGTTTGTTTGTTGTTCGCTGATTTGATTACGATTTTTTATGATGCTGTGTTTTTTAATACCTCCGTGTTAATACCGGTTGATTCTAATTTATGTCTGTGTGCCTCATGTTAGAGATCCGTCCGTATTTTATTTTATTTTTAAATTATGCATGTTGTTGGTTGTTGTTTAACAAGAGAAACAACGAATGTGTAGTCTCTCGGTGCATGTACTTTGATGTGGCTTCTATGACTGCTAAAAATTAGATAGCGCCTACTCTTTGTAAAATAATGGTTTTTGTTTTCTGTGTTGGTTTATTTTTCCACATTTTCTGTTCTTAGATGAACCTTTTCTATGAATTTGGTTTTTCCTCTGCTGTAGAGGTTGAGTGTGTTGGAACTCATTTGCTTTTATGTATTTATTTTCCTATATTTTCAAAGTATGCTTTTTTACTGATTTTTTTGTTTTATTTTTTGGTTTTTTTCCCAGATGTGTTTATCTGTATACATACGTTGATGGTTACAACGTGTTACAACAGTGTATTGACCTTGGGTGTGTTCTTAAGTCATGTACCCAATTTGGTTTTGACTGATTATTATAGAAATTAGAGACAATCACAGTGGTATATATCAAAATTTAAGAATTTTAACTTGCAAGCACTGAAGTCCTTTCGCAAATCAGACACTTTATTGAAACATTTGAAAATGTTAGATATAATTAAATGGTATTTGTGGGTGTATGATTTGGTTGCCTTTTTATTTTCGGGAAATGACATTGTTAATTTTTTCTGTCTATTGTGTTGTTGTGTTTCTGTGTGATTCTACTTTAGCTATATAGTTTGTGGTTCTCCTTTTTAAGCTTATTTTTTCCGCATTTGGTGTTTCTAGATAAATCTTTTCTTTAAATTTGGTTTTTTCTTTGCTGTGGAGGTTAACTGTGTTGAAATTCATTTGCTTTTATGTATTTGTTTTCCTGTATTTTCAGAGTGTGTTTTTTGCTGGTGTATTTCTATATTTCATTCGATGTATTTATTTAATATCCGTGCGTCATTTTCATTTTGGTATATGGGTAAGGATTGTTGGCTATAAAGGGTTAAGGTGGAAAAGCTTGGAAGAAGATAGAAAGTCTAGCACTCCATAAAGATGACCATGGGAGGCTATGAACAACTGGCATGATGACTAATAAACCCTAGAAGGTTGGCGTGGAATGGTGCGTAGAAGGAGGCGGCCAACCAATAACCTAAAAATCAAGAGATGGTGAATCTATGAGTTGATGTGGCATAAATATTACATGCGAGCTGACGTGGTCCATATATTTAGCATGAGGTCTTGATTAATTGAGCGATTTATACCATGCGAGAAATTTTTCATTGTGACGGAAATGTGGGTGGTATATCACGTGTTTTTAGGTAAATTGTGGGAAAATTTATTTTTGAAGTTATTAACTTTTTAACACACATATCCCATCATTTGTATAATAATACGTGATGTATCACCTCGTATGCCGATCATACTGAAAAATCTAACATACTACGCAAGTTGAGGTCAGATATGTACCCAATGAGAACAACTCAATTTGCCGGCTTTTGGCACTATAAATAGTAGTAGAGTTCAATTGTATACAGCATGCAAATGTTGCAATTAACGTGGGAATACACACACACATTCTTATATTATATCTATACTAGCATTTACCTATACACTTTGTGTGTATGAACATATTTTTTTAGAAAATGAGAAGGAGAGGGAGAGAGAGAGAACGTGGGGGGAGTGGCAGGTTTTTGTTTTTGGTTTTTTTTTATTTTAAATATTGGAGGTACATTACTTGTAGGTGAGGCTTCAATAAAAAATAGTAAAATTTGAACATGTGAAATTACATTATTGCCCATCATTTTTTTTTGTGTGATAGAAGACTAAGTAGTCTTTTCACCCTCTTTTGGTTAACAAAGAGTGTTTAATTAATTATTAGAGATATAGATAAAAGATCGAGCTTAGGTGGGAAAGGATCCTCGCCGGATCTTTTCCTAGGGATCCCGTCACTCGTTCATCGTATATTGTGCGGTCAAAAATCATTTCAAAATTTAAATTTTAAAATTAAATATAAATAGTACTTAACGAAAACTGACCGCACGATATACGATGAACGAATGAGATCATGGGATCCCTAGGATCCCTAGGAAAGGGATTTGGCGAGGATCCTTTTCCAATTTAGGTTAGAGATGTGTTGTGATTGTTAGTGGGCTTGTTTTGTCGAGGTTCTAGATTTCGAGGTGAGTGGTACATATAATGTGTTATAAACTTCTTATTTTCCAATAAATGTGAAAATAACGAACTATTGTGTGTTTTACTCTATTTACAGATCTTTCTCTATTTTCAAGTCAAAGATGTTTGATTTCGTGTAATCACTTTTGATGCTTATACATACATTATGTGTGAATTGTTGAGATTGTTCAAGCTATCTCCAAGGGCCTCCAAGGGGAGGGGGGAAACAAAAAAAACCCAAAATTTGGGCCCAAAACTTCTCTAAGGAATGTATTATGGGGTGGAAATTTTGGGATTTTGGGTTTTGGGAGGAGACTTTGGGTTAGCTATCCCACGGGATGGATAAGGTATCAAGTGGGCCAATGGCCCCAACTCAACAGATGCACCACGTGAAGACCAACCGAAGCAGGGCAATAGATGTAGGCTGGTTTGGTATTGGTGTAGTTTGAAGAAAAAAACTGTTTATATTGTGCTGTGAGAATAAATAGTTGTGAAATAAAGTAACAGAGTGTTTGGTAAACTTTTTTGTAAAACTGCTTTTGAAAAAAAAAGCAGTATTATAGTGTTTGGTATAACAGCTATGACTGTGTGAAATGACCAAAAATTGTATAATACTAGATTTGCCATTAATTTAATTTTCTTAACAAATAAAGGTGAATTGCTAAATATACTTTATTTTTAAAAGAAAAATATTTATAAACTTTATCTTAAACATATAATCCAATGTTTAACAAAAAATCATACTCCAACATTCAACATATAATCCAATATTTATGCTGCTTCACGTTTTCAATTTTTTTTTCAAAACTCATTTTTACTGCTTCACGTTTTCAATTTTTTTTCAAAACTCATTTTTGCTACTTCACGTTTTCACTCAAAACTATGAAAATAAGCTGTTTTTAAGTGTTTACCAAACACCTTTTTGAGCTTAATTTTTTTTATACCCACTTTTTATAAAAGCACCTCAATACCAAACCAGTACGTAATAGGTAGACAAATTGTCTGCGGCAACCGCATAGAAACCAACTTTTTATGGCCCGAATTAGCGTTGTTAGCGTCTAATGGTTGTCGCATCCTATGGGTTCTTCCAAAGTGGTGCGTCTAGTTACATCTCTTTTCAATCACATGGCTCAAATTCAATTTAATCAATTTTAAAAGTAATAAGAAGGATCCTACGACTAAATTTATCCAATGATCAAAATAATATTAATTAATCCAAATCAAATCCAACACCAAAACCCTATAAATACCCATTAATTAAGGGAACTTTAACGAAAAGCTTCCGATACTATTCACTTTAATGAAAAACTATATTTTTACACCAAAAAGTCAATCTTTGGTATCATTCACTTTACCTTTTATTTTATCATTTTCGTTTAAACTCAAAGTTTTCAAGTCATTTTCATTAGTTTTCCCATTAATTTAATTTGTTCACTAATCCATAAAAGAAAATTAAAAAATAAAATCCAATTTTCTGATATTTGTTCACCAAAACTTTATGTAAGTATTCGAGTCAAACCTTTAATCCTAGGGAACTTTAACAAAAAGCTTCCGGTACTGTTTACATTAACGAAAAACCACATTTTTACACTAAAAAGTCAATCCTGGTACTATTCACTTTACCATTTATTTTGTTCTTATCATTAAAACTCAAAGTTTTCAAACCTTTTTCATTAGTTTTCCTTTAATCCTAAGCCCCTTTCTGAGAAAAAAAAGAAAAAAAAAGGGCATAGGATTACTAAGCGCCTTGTGTAAGTATTCGAGCCAAACCTTTAATCAATTGTCGAAGCAAATTCAATGGGTTCGGATCTGCAAGGTTTTGGAGTGGAAGTAAGGTTCGGTAGTAACGACATGCTTTACTTGTCAGGAATTGGTGTGATTCTCGACTTTTACATATATATTAAAACTTAAGGAACTAAAACAAAAAAAAAAATAAGCGCCTTATCTTGAAGATCACTAATCAAATACTCAGGGGGAGAATTTATAAGCCTTTTTTAACAAATCAATAAAAGCCCAAGTAACTGATGGCCCATCTTCAATAAAAGCTCAAAAATTGATGGCCGATCGTCAATTCCAAGCCCATTTAACCCCAAAATTCAATACAAAACATTCAGATGTGAATATGTCATATATAATGTGGTAGTTGAGTTACTTGACTTCTTATTTTTTTAATTTTTTTTGCAATAAACAAAGAAGAAGTTAAATATAATTCAAATTTTTAACGCATGAATCCTATTGACAACCAATAGAAAAACAAAACTAAAATCAATTTTAATAATTTTTAATAGATAATGTAATTATGTAGCTCAATATATAATAAAATAAATATTTGGCATATCTATTAAAAATTAAAAGATTTAAATTTTATTTTTAATTGACAACGTCATCTATCTCACATTCTCTTAAGCGTTGTTAATATTGTTTGCTAAAAAAATAAAAATATTTTTTGATATATTGTGTTTGACATGACATTATGCTGGAACGCAAATTAGCAATCACATGGACAAGTCAATCCAACTGGCCGTAGCTGATTGGTCCAACACCTCATCTTTCCAATTACATACCTTATCAGATCTCACCTTTCGTATTTACTTCTTCCGGAACCCCTCTTTCCCTCTATGGTTCACAGTTGATACGGTGAGCCGGATCTCTCAAAGTCTCTCAGGCTCAGAGCGGCAGGACGGCCATGGCTGACCAGTTCGAGGACAAGGTCCCTCCTTCGGTATGATTTCTCAGAAACGCCAATTATCTCCTGCAATTTAATCAGCCATCTTGGATTTTGTATTTCTGGAATTGGGATTTAGATGTCTCGTTTTTTCAGCTGTTTTGAGGTCCTGCTAAGCGAAACTTATGCATGCATGCTTCAATTTAGTGGCATATTAAATGTCTGGGACTTGTGTGTTGGTTGATTAGACAGAGTTACATTTCTTGATGAAAGATTTTCGTGATCTGAAAATTGGTATTCCAAAACTGGGATGAAACCCAGATCTTGGACATTTTCCATGATTGAATCTGAATTAAGAAACAAGCCTGTATTTATTGGATTTTTTGTGTTAGGTGTAAATTAAGAACTGCCAAATCAAATGCCACCTTAATTTTGTTGGAGTTATGTTAATTTATTGATTGATTGATTTCCTTGTTGATGCATTTATGTTCTCACGCTCTTGTATGTATCTGCGAGTTCAATGCATGATAAGAGATTCAGATGACAAGGAACTTTTACCCAGAATTGTTATCCTCACGGGTGGTTTTTCTGCATAATTATGTTGGTTTTTCAAGTTGAATGATTGTAAAATGTTGGCTTTTCTTAGTGAATGATGCTAGTCTGTTTAGCTTGAGATGCATGTAATTACGTGGAAATGATGTGCATGAGTATATATTTCGATTCGTATAGAAACGGGTTTTTTGTCCATTGATGAAAATGTAATAGGTCTATTGTCGATCTGTCATACTTATATTTGGCTAACCACCCAGTGAATGGGTTTGGTGGTATTGGTCTCCATTTGAACTCAAACCATGAGTTTGAGTCTCACGGCTGTCACCGGTCTATTTGACTAGTGGGTTTCTACCATGGCCCTTTAATGTTTCATGGCCTTTATGAGTCACTTTCTATTTCACAGCAAAGTTTCTAGGTGGTTGGGTGCATGTGTGCATGCTTGTCAATGATTCTTCCAATTGATGACTCGTAGTTTAAGTCTTAAGACTATTGGGATTGAATCTCATTTTGTCCTTCTTTACACAAGCTCTGTCCTAATTTGGATTTTGTTTATTAGTGAAGAAACTGTGAAATAAAATTCGCACTTGTAATTTGTCCCTGGAAATCATTTTCAATTTGTTTGTAGGCATAATATAATAGTGCATTTAAAGAGGATTTGTGAGGAAGATAGAGTTCCTTACAAAAATACGGGGTCCTAACTGATAGATTATGGTCATTAGCCTTTGTCTTTACATTGTTATATTTCACTGTCTAGTTTTCTAAACATTGCTTTGTTTTTATTTATTTGAAGGAATAGCAGGACTAAGCCAGTGGGATTTTCACTAGTTCTCATATAGAAATAAAATAAGTCATGTTTGTACCTGAGTGCTTGGTTTGATAACCTGCTACTAATTTATCTTCTGCTTCTGGTAAATCAAAAAGTAGTCTCTCGCGCATTCTGTTAGGAATGAAACGATAAAAATGATAAACCCTATTGGCTGCTGCCACAAATTCAATTCCCAAAACCATATTTTCATTATGTGCTGGGAGTGGGATGCACCCAATTTAAAATTGTGTTTTTCTATTTAAACTCCACAGTCTGTCTTAGTTCACCCCGAAATTTTTTGACAGCATAATTTCCAATACCCTTACTAATACAACACAACCCACAACAGCTGATAAAGAGAAGGGAAAAACCTAGAGAAAACCCACCACACCCCAGACACTGACCAGCACTCTCTCCCAATTGCTGCCACACCAACGATATTATCACTTATTGTAATCTTTTTTTATGTACAGATGTGTTTTTCCAACATATTCTCTCATATTAGATGTTTTTGGCTCAGAAATTTATGTAGAAAGGACCAGAAACTATGTGATGGATTTACACCCTTAGAAAATTAACTGATGGATTTACTCCAAAATGAGTGTCAAACAAAATTAAAAGCAAGTACGATGCTGGGAGTGTTCCCAACATCCTCTGTATATCTGTAGTGGGCGTCGAATTTGAAATAGGGCAAAATTGGAAATTAAGGTGTCAAAATTTGGTGTGGTGGTTAAATAGAAAACTCTTTAAAAATAGGGAAACAATTCGATTCAATTGGACATAGTTCTGGAACTTGGATGCCGTTGCATCTTCTATAGGTATTCTCACATAGGAAGCGGGTCTAAATATCCAGTTGAATGAAGAACATTAATTAGTGTGATAGTTAGGGATTGTTGTTGAGTGGTGATTCCAGCAGTGCTCTACATTTTCCCTTAACCTTGTCCATTTGTGTGTCTGTGTCTGCTTGGAAATCTAATTTACAGTGGTGATTTTGCAGGATGCAAAAGGGTTGAACCCTGGAATGATAGTGTTGATTGTTGTTGTTGGGCTGCTGATGATTTTCCTGGTAGGAAACTACGCGCTTTACGTGTACGCTCAGAGAACTCTTCCCCCGAAGAAGAAGAAGCCAGTGTCTAAGAAGAAGCTGAAAAAGGAGAGGCTGAAGCAAGGCGTCTCTGCTCCAGGAGAGTAAATATGAAAGACTTGATTTCTTTTGCAGCTCTCCGTCACGTCGTAAAGCGTTGTGTTCAGATGTTTTTCCAAGCACCTTATGTGTTTAGGATTCAGAAGGTTTTTCTTTATTTACGTTAATACTCGAGGGGATTGAAATTTAGTTGCAACTTTGGGAAGTGAAGTGAACCCGGTATCATCGTGGAGACCAGGGAGAGAGAATGCTGTTACTAAAACACAGTTTTATCTTTTTAATTTCCCTTTTGTACTGAGCCTTAACTTTGTTGAAGGAATAGTTAGAACTTGGAAAGAATTCCGTTACCAAAGCAGGAGCCTTATGCACTGGGTACGACATTTTTATGGTTTGTTTCTATTAACCGGGACACTGGAAGAAACAACCAAATGCTTGGTTGTACAATAGGATGTAACACCGCATGACCATTTTACTATGCTAGTTCTGAATTATTAGATAAACAAAATTGACACAGTTTGTGACACGCACAATGATGCAGTTCACCTATATTAGATAGTGGCAACGACTTTTACCTCTTTCATCTGTTCTGTGGAGTACGGCTTTGGCAATAGCATAATCCTCGCTTCCTATTGATTTTTAAGCCCAAGCAATGACTCTTACTGACAAAAAATTCCACCTTCAAAGTTGCAATCCATAGAAAATGTTAAAAATCAGAACATATTTTCAAAAGTTTCTGCTAATCCCACTACATAGTCTAAACCATTTAGAATCAATTAGAAAAGAATTCATGAACTTCGCTTGATGTAAAGTGAACCAACATAGCCAAGGAGACTCGACTGAAACCCCTACCTTTCGTCCTCTTTATTTAACACTTCACACACATAATAACTATATATATATATATATATATATATATATATATATATATATATTGTTTTTCTTCTTCTTTTTTCTTTAAGTAACAGTAGTGGTTATGCAATGTAAGTTCACTTAAGCTTTCGAACCAACCCATGTAGCGAGCTTTAGGTCAATGACTCTCAAACCACAAGGGCTTTAGGGCACTAGGTGTAGAACACCCCTAAGGACTTATTAACTCGAGCTGAAAAGGCTACGAAACCAACTAACCACCCTGCCCCATGTCAAAACTCTACCGTTTGATGTGAGAATTACTGCTGGTTAGGCAAGATTGGCCCGGTTACTAGACAAAGCCTTAGATGAGACAATTATTACTTTATTCATAACAATAACTAACTTTACTTAGAACAAAAATTTTAAAATAAACTTAGACTAAAAGTAAGTGTTCAATCTCACTCTCCACAAACCATGTTGAAGTGAATGTGCAAATTTTCAAAGTATAACTCATGAATTAGTGTCTAAGCAACGATAAATAGAAAATACTCTACTATGGGTTTAACCTTCACCATGTCCATTTGTTCTTACGTTTAAAATAATCTATGGATATTAACTTAAAAAGAATGAAAATTTTATTGACTCAAAATTAAAAATCTAAAAATTCTAATTCCCACCCCCAAACTTATTTCACACTTTGTCCTCGAGGTGTGGGAAAATAAATAAAAGACAAAAATAACACCTAAAACTAACTGACTCTAAAAAAACGACAAAATTAAAATAAACAAATATAAAATAAAAGAAAGTGCATAACAAACCAAAATTTAAAATAAGAAATGGACACATAGGGATGGCAACGGTTCGGTTTGGGGACGGAAATGTTATATCTATCCCCATAACCACGAAAATTAACCATACCCATAACCGCAAAATAACTATCGGGGATTATTCATAACCATATTCACTGAGTAACGGATTTTCAATCGGTTATCGGTTATATCCATCTTCGTCAAAAAAATTAAAAATTATATTCATCCAATTGACGCACTATAAATTTTAGTAGATACTACTTCTGCCATTAAATAGCCACATCCAATTACAAAAAAACATAACAATATATATTTGAAGTTGTTCATGATAAGCCAATATGATAAATTGGTCCAATAAAAAAGAAAAAGAGGACAAAAACAAATACGAAAGGAAGACAAAACAAATTGTCTAATAATTCCAAAACTTGTGATGACAAAAGAACGAGATATTTGCACTTTGCTTCTAGTTCCACCAAGCCAGTATCATATTTCATGGTGCTCCTCCTTCACAACCATCAATGGAGCATGATCCCTACATTATTAAGCAAATGACGAAATAATTAATATGAATCGTTGTACACATATAATCTACAAAGAAGATAGTTATATACATATAATATAATTGCCAATACTTACCTCATCCATATCCATATCTTCAAAATAAGTGTAGCAACTGACGTGTGCATTAGAACAAGAAGCTAGTTGTGAAACATAAAGACTTAAATTAGTTCTAAAAACCGAATGCATACTAATTAATTAAGTTTGAAAAATAAGTTCGAAATTAAGATTAAAGAACATGCACAAATATAAGATGAAAATAAATCAATGCTTTGGCGTACCTTGAATTTCTTTCCACAACCAATTTTGGGCGCACATTAAGGCTTCCAATGTCTTTGGATGAAGTCTACTACGGTGTGGACTTACAAATCTCCCACTAGTATTGAAAGATGATTTGGAAGCAACTGTAGATACAGGAATAGCTAATATATCCATTGCTAAAGCACTTAAGATAGGATATTTAGTCCCATTTGATTTCCACCAACCCAAAATATCAAAATCAGATGTTCTAGGAAAAACAACCTCATCCAAATAATGATCTAATTCTGACTTTACATTATTAATACTTATAGTACTAGAAACAACCAAGTCAAAGTTATCCATTAAAGAGGATTCATCTCTTAAAAGTCAGATTGATTTAAATGAGATGAACTGAATGATGGTTGATGACCCATGTTAGAAATATGATTAGATCCACACTCTTTTACCAAATCATAACAATATTTGCGAATCTTATCAATTTAATTGGAAGCATATTGCCCATACAGGAAAGAAATACTTAATCAGCCTCATCTTGAATCTTGGATCCAATACAGCAGCTACAACCATTATTCCATGAATCACACTCCAATATTTATCAAATTTCTCAATCATACTTCTTGCAATATTTTTTATTTCATCACGTCTAGAGGTAAGCCATTGGGTTAGCGACAACCTGATCTCACAAATATTTAGAAAATAAAGATTGGCTGTAGGGTACTTAGTTCCAGAAAACAACTCGGAGACATTATAAAACAACTTTAACTTTTCACAAATCTCTCTTGCCATCTCCCAATCTCTATCATCAAGCAAACACTTATATTGCGACTCTTGTTGTTTCAAACGAGGGAAAACATCCTTGTAAATCAAAGCAGATTGAATCATTAAAAAAGTGGAATTCCACCGAGTTTTACAATCAAGCACCATCTTCTTAGTGCTTGGAAGCTTCAACTGACGTGCTTCTTCCTCAAATTTTTCCTCTCTTTTCTGTGTTGCTGTCCAATAAACAACACTATCACGAATTTTCTCAACACCACCACCAATCACTTCCAGACCATCCTTCACAATTAAGTTTAATATATGTGCACAACAACGCATGTGAAAGAACCCTCCACCCAACAAAAGTGAACTACTAGAAAGTTTTTCAAGAATAAGATCAATCATTGTATCATTTGTAGTGCAATTATCTACGGTTAAGGTAGAAAGCTTACGATCAAGGTTCCAATCTAGCAAGCACTCCATCAAAACATCTGAAAGTGTCTTGACGGTATGCGGACAAGGCACATAAATAAATCTGAAAAAAATTACAAAGAAGATGGTTACAATAAAGAATCTGAAATATAAATCTAAAGCTAGACAATAATTAAATAGAAATTGAAGTATTAAAAATATCACCTTATTATTCGGCTCTGCAACGTCCAAGAGTCATCAATAAAATGTGATGTTATTACCATAAATCCTCTGTTTTGATTACTTGCAGTCCACATATCAGTAGTTATGGCAATTCTACTCTTATTTTCATCCAACAATTGCATTGTTTTCGAACACTCATAATCATATATTTTTAGGATATCACTCTTGATTGTGTTTCTCGAAACAACCTTAAACAACGGTTGGACAACACTCATGAAGTTTCTAAATCCAACATGCTCAACCATGGAAAGAGGGTACTCATGTAATATTATCATTTGAGCGGGAGCTCTCCTTGCACTTTCTTGATCAAATGTATACAACTCTACTTTCCCATCTCCTACTTTTTGGGTTAGTGTTTGCTTCAATTTTTTTTGTCTCTGACATGGACATATCGTCACATGATGCCTCAAATGGCTGGTTCCATTTCTAGTGTTCCCACCAAGCTTCTTGTTACAATAATTACATATTGCTTTCATCACCCCATCAACTAATGTTCTTGTGTAATGTTGCCACACCAAACTGTGAAGTCTTGAATTATTACCTTCACCATCATCACCCCCCAGGTTCCTCAGTCTCACCAGCGACCTCATTTAGAGTTGGTATATCTTGGGGTTGGGCAATTTGATTTGGTATTTCTTGTTGTACAACACTTGGATTCAATGTAGGTGCTAGATTACAATCAGTTGGGGTAGATATTGTTTCTTCTTGAGACTTAAATTTTCTTTTAGACATTTTGATTGCTGCGAACACAACCAAATCCTTTAATATGTAAACAAAGACATGGTATAATACTGAAACTGAATCAATTAACATGTAAACTAAATATATAACAACAAACAAGAAGACAATTATTGATTTAATTTTGCATAATTCTATGGGCTCATAACATATGTAATAAACTGAAAAACTAACGCTAATTGAGAATTTGCATGAATCAAATAACATGAAAAAGAATGAAAGATTACCTATTGAGCTGACAACATGCACTAATTTCTTGACAGTGAGACTCTTGAAGAGAGATGAATCTGATAAACTTGGAACATTTGATAATTGATATATAAAATAATTCAATGAATTAATTTGGTTGAGTATAACATTAAGAGTATTGAATTGATGAGGTTGTTGGTATGCCCCATGTATGATGTTTGGTGCATAATAAAGATAGTATAGGGGTTGATGCATGCATAATGAATTAGTACTATAGGGATACGAATAATTGAATACGTTGTGGGCATGATTCCAAGACTTTGAAAGGCATAATTGAATAAAATAATATATATATATATATATATATAATATTTGGATCGGATTTGGGTACGGATATGGATTGGGTACCCCTGTAACCATATCCAAAACCATAATCGAATAAAGTTAACGGTTTTTCCCCATATCTAAACCATACCCAAATTTTCATATCCAAATCCAATCCATTCGGACGGTTATCCACAGTTATCGGGTTTAACGGTTAGAA